CCCCTGCCCCCCTCTCCCTTGTGGAGTCCGTCTGGGATGCCCACCCTGCCCCACTCTCCTGCTTGTTGGAGGGGATGCCCACCCTGCCCCCCTGTCCCTTGTGGGGTCGGTCTGGGATGGCCACCCTCCCCTTCTGCCCCTCCCTGGGCTCAGTCCTGGATGCTCCCCCTGCCCCACTCTCCTGCTTGTTGGGGGGGGATGCCCACCCTGCCCCACTCTCCTGCTTGTTGGAGGGGATGCTCCCCCTGCCCCACTGCCCTGCTTGTTGGGGGGGATGCCCCCCCTGCCCCACTATCCCTGTGGGGTTGGTCTGGGATGGCCACCCTCCCCTTCTGCCCCTCCCTGGGCTCAGTCCTGGATGCTCCCCCTGCCCCACTCTCCTGCTTGTTGGGGGGGGATGCCCACCCTGCCCCACTCTCCTGCTTGTTGGAGGGGATGCTCCCCCTGCCCCACTGCCCTGCTTGTTGGGGGGGATGCCCACCCTGCCCCACTATCCCTGTGGGGTTGGTCTGGGATGGCCACCCTCCCCTTCTGCCCCTCTGTGGGGTCAGTCTGGGATGCTCCCCCTGCCCCACTCTCCTGCTTGTTGGGGGGGATACTCCCCCTGCCCCACTCCCCGCAGGGCTCTGCACCCCACCGGAGCCTCCCCACGGAGCTGCCGTCGAGCTGGACGAGGTGGGCGCTGAGGTTTTGCCCCGACGGACGCCGGCTCCTGCCTGGCTCCCCACTGCCAAAGGTAAGGGGTCGCTCCGGAACGGCCCCCCCGCCCCACTTGTCCCTCGGGGCTGTCGCGGGTCCCCACCCTGCCCCCCTGTCCCGTCTGGGATGGCCACCCTCCCCCTCTGCCCCTCTGTGGGCTCAGGCCGGGATGCTCCCCCTGCCCCACTGCCCTGCTTGTTGGGGGGGGTGCCAACCCTGCCCCACCATCCCTGTGGGTTTCGGCTGGGATGGCCACCCTCCCCTTCTGCCCCTCTGTGGGGTCAGTCTAGGATGCTCCCCCTGCCCCACTCTCCTGCTTGTTGGAGGGGATGCTCCCCCTGCCCCACTGCCCTGCTTGTTGGGGGGGATGCCCACCCTGCCCCACTATCCCTGTGGGGTTGGTCTGGGATGGCCACCCTCCCCTTCTGCCCCTCTGTGGGGTCAGTCTGGGATGCTCCCCCTGCCCCACTCTCCTGCTTGTTGGAGGGGATGCCCACCCTGCCCCCCTGTCCCTTGTGGGGTTGGTCTGGGATGGCCACCCTCTGTGGGGTCAGTCCGGGATGCTCCCCCTGCCCCACTGCCCTGCCTGTTGGAGGGGATGCCCACCCAGCCCCATATGGGGGGTGCTCTCCCCCCGTCCCCCGTGGGAGCACCCCGTGCTGAGCGCGTGCCCCGCTGTGTCCCGGCAGGCGAGGAGGGGGATTTCTGCCTGCGCTCCTCGGACTGCGCGGCGGGGCTGTGCTGCGCCCGACACTTCTGGTCCAAGATCTGCAAACCGGTGCTGCGGGAGGGGCAGGTGTGTACCCGGCACCGGCGGAAAGGCACCCACAGCCTGGAGATCTTCCAGCGCTGCCAGTGCGCCGAGGGGCTGGCCTGCCGCCTCCAGAGAGAGCAGGGCCCCGCCGACGCCTCCCGCCTGCACACCTGCCAGCGGCACTGAGCCCCACGGACAGACAGACGGACGGATGGGATGGACGGGACGGACTCCGGCCCTGCCGGAGCGGAAGGTTGTTTCTCAAGGGAACTACTTTTTAAGCGACTAATTGCAGTACGTTACTGTGTTGTGAATACTCGAGCTGGCACTTAGCTGTACATAACGCCGGGACTTTTTAACGACTTTTTTTTTTTTCATATTTTATTTTTTTTTTTTTTTTGTCTCCGAGGGTGCTGCCTTGTGCTCTTCCCAAGCCTGTGACTGTGACTTTGTACACACTGGGTTTTTAAATCTGGGTCAAAGGGATGCGACCGTTCTGTTCGCGAGCAAATAAAACTGTTCTTTAAAAAAAATCAGTGCCGGCTGCCTGCGCATCCCTGCCTGCCTGCTCCTGCCCATGCCTGGCCATCCTGGTCCCTCCCTGGCCATCCTGGTCCCTCCCTGCCCCCCCAGAGGGAATATGTGCCCGGGGGGGAAAAGGTCCAAAGAGAAAGGTGGGGTTGGCTCGTCCCTGATGAGGCGGTTCGGTTATCACTATTTTTTCAGCTGCTTTTTGAGGAACTGCCATGTGCCACTGCAGCCACCGGACACGGGGTGAAGGACGGGCACCGTGGCCGGGGCTCTGGGAAGGGCAGGCAGCAGCAAAACCAAATTTTCCTAACCTGCCTAATTTTTCCGTGGGGTGAGGAGGGAGCACAGTATCTCTGTGGGGCTGCGGCACGTGGGACGGGTGCTGGGTAGCACAGGGATGCCCTTTCATTCCGTGGGTGCAGTTTCGCTCCCTCCACAATAAAGACTGACTTTTCACTTCACTTTGCAGCCTGTTACTGTGAGTTTGCTCCCTTGGTTGGCTTGGAGGGAGGGAAGGTTGCGAGCAGGCATTTTATTTTCCTAGATGCCCCCTGCTCTCACTCCTGATGCTGTCCTCCTATTGCCCAGTGGGTGTGGGGGGTGGGTGTCATGCAGCGTGGGACTGGTGGGTGGAAAGTGCAGTGGTGGCAGCTCTCCTGTGCCCACCTGCCCTCCCTGCAGCCTGGGGAAGGTGTTGGGGATGCAAAACCATGTCTTCCCTGTCCGACCCCGCGGTGCTTTGTACCCCAAGCCCAGCTCTGAGGGCAGAGCAGCCCCGGGGTGGCTCCGAGGGCACCGCATCCCATTTGCAGGGATGCTCCAAGCAGGGTCACACCTCGTGGTGACATGCCACCTGATGGCTCATGCTGGGTGCCCCTAGGACTAACGCTGCCTATTGAGGGACCTCAGGGATGGCACTGGTGCGTGGGGTTGTTGAACCTGAACACAAACTGCAGCCCTTGGCAGGAACCTGCACGAACCAGGGGATGCTGAACCAAGCCTGCAGCTACGGAAAATGAGAGAGAGGGTGCAAACAGCCCCAGGTAGAGGGAAACGATTAGAAAGGAGCCTTCCTTTTGCACAGGCGAGGGGCCATCCATGTCTTTCCTCCAGCTCTTTCAGGGCTGGGAGTGAGCAGCACCATGCAGGCTGAGAAAGCTGCACCAAACCAGAAGGTAAAACGCTCCTTAAAGCTCCTCAGTGTCCTGGGGTGGTTGTGCCCACCAAACTCTCTGTGGCCAGGGAGACTGCAGGTGCCCCAAGCTCCCTGGGGACGCGGGGGTGGCAGGGATGCTGGGGGGTGACATGGCAGGGGACACGTCTCTCAATCCCACCGCCCCGGGTCTGCGCTCGGGAGCAGCTTTTCCTGGGGTCAGAGCAGGAGCTGGGGTGTCAAGCAGCCCCCCCCTGCAAGAGTTTACGTCTCAAAGGCTTGAGTTCAGCACTGTAATAACAGTAATAATAACAAAAAAAATATTAAAAACACTTTTTAAAAATAGATACTTTAAAAAAATTGCTACTTTATAACATTATTGCTCATTACAGTTACGCCCAGTAAAAGTCAGTGGGACCGGAGCAACCAGCGTACCTGATTATGTATAAAGCATCATTTAGATAAATTTAGATTTGACATTAACTGTCAAATTAACATTATCCCTAGTACATACAAAATGATTAGGTTCAGGGTTTTTCCCCACGCAGTTACAGCACTCTCTCCTCCACAAGTGAAACCGATACAGCCTTGACACCTTTGAAAAAATAACACTCACGATGCGTTAAATATCAATTAAAGTATCTTTTTTGGCTCTGAACTATGTTATATCAAATCTTACCCACTCGCAAGGGCACTCTGGTGGACCTGGAGCTCCACATCATCCCACCCAGCTCTGGCCTTGCAGACACATTTCAGCACCAGGATGGCCTTGTGTTGACACCCTGCACTCCTCAAGCACTTCAAATACCTTAATAAAGTGATTATTTTGGTCTGAAAAGCCTTTGTTACCATTTCTTGTACCGTATTCTCCACTCCCTTCTGTTTTAGGCAGTTTGGCCATTTCTTACTTCTCTGGGCATTAACCAAAACCTTCTTTACACTGCTTATGCCTTGATATTCTTCACTTTCTCAGTCTGGGGGGGGGGAAAGGGCATTTTTAGCAGTTCTTTTTACGCAAGAGGAGCAGCTCAGGTCAGCACCGAGTGTCTGATGCAAGGCATAAAGGACCTCCAAAACCCAGGTTGCATCTCTATCATCTCCTGCAGCCCATGGTAGCACACAGATCTCAAGGCCAGATTCCACAAAAGCAATGGTTTGATTTCACAAAAGCAATGGTTTTGTGGGTCGTTTTTTAATCCCCTTTCCCGTACCACACCTCAGCAAGCAGTCAGGATCTCTTCCCATTTCTGCCCCATATGAACTTTCAGGGTTTGTTCTTCAAGCAGAGCACCAAGAAACCGGATTCAGTAACATCCCTTAGGAAAAAGACCAAACCGAAACAGAACGTGACAGTATCACCCATTAATTTAAGGGAGGCATTTTCAGCATTCCCTGTCCCGATGCATCATTCAGCCCCAGGACATGAACCTGTATTAGGGCTTTGGCAGCCTGAGAAGTGAAAATATTAATTTAGTGCCAAGAGCACCAAAGATAAATAGAAGATGGGTGGGAGCATCAGAATGCCCCGAGGAATTAACAGGCAGAGTCACTGTGATCCCTCTTGTGTTCTTCTCCCCACTGGTGGCTGCTCCGTATTTCAGAAATGCCCTAATTAATCCTTGCAACCCCAAAAACCAATAAGAGGATGGGAAGTTAAACGTGCACAGATTAGGGCTTGGCCAAGATGGGACGTGGCAAGCCCTTGACTTTGAACTGGCTGGTGTGTCCAGATCTGGATGGACCTCATGCTCTGATCAAGAGAAACATGGCACAACCCAGTAACACCCATAGTGAAAGGCACCCCAGGATGTGCTTTCCCAACCATTCTGCTCTCTGATGAAATTATTTCCCCCCCCTCCCAAAAAAAAAAGACAGAAAATACCCTCTTATTCTAGGCAAATTGTAGAGCTAATAGAAAAAGCAGGGTTCTGTGGACAAGGAGGGCTTCTTTACTTGCTGTTCCTGGTTATAGGGCTGGAAGAGCCAACCATAAAGCTCTGTAAAGTTAAATATTGTTATTTATAACAATAAAAAAACCGGAACATTTTAAAGCAGCCGCCCCTAATGACTGGTTGTTGGCAGCACGGCTTTACAGCCTGCTGCAAATATAACCCTTCCCCTTCGTTTCTCCTTCAAATTAAATCCTTAATCATGCGTGCCCTGTGGAAGGGTGGTTCCAGCCCTGGCAGGGCATAAATAAGCAGGATCCCATCATCACCATGATATCCTGGCCCTGTGCACAGCATGAGAATGCAGCTCTTGCCCTGCTCATCCCTCGCATTGGTTGTCTGGTCCAGGTTAGCAGAAGGATGGGAAAGGAGCTGCTGATACCCTGCCCTCTTTCAGACCCCCAAAAGGTAAAAATTTGGAGTGGGTAAGACAGCAGCACATAACTCAGTGGGGTCTGAGCCCCTGCAGTGGTAGGAGACAGTATTTAGAGGGTCTACAGGGGTGTCTGTTGTACCCTCCTTCATGTGCTCCTCCTAGCAGCTACAACTACTGCATTGCAGGCTTTAAAAGGTCCTATTCCCTTTGATATACAATTTGCTATTAATTTGTCTAATCGTTGAATTTTTTTGGAAGCCCTTTCTAGACTCTTAACCACTGGCTTGTTACATACCTCACACCTCTTGGCTAAAAATAATACAGTGACACCCCAGAAGCCCATAGCCCTACCCCAGGCTGAGGTGACACGGGCTGCACAAACACAGATGGCTTCAGGGATTTGAGGAGAAAATTGAATCACTCTTCCAACCACGCTGTGGTTTTCCTGAGATGATCTGTGGATACAGCCTTCCAGGAGATGCTTTCACAGAATCATCAGCAGCAGCCCCTCTCTGCTGCACCAGGGGACAATATTGGCATAAAGGCATTAATCTTACACAGGAGAATGGGGACGTGGCACAGTTTTTATTGTGATTTCTGGTTAAATGAGTTTTTGGTGAGGCAAATATAATTTTCTTCCAATTTTCTTCTTAAGCTCCTTCAGTTAGTAGTTTCACCCCAAGTTGTAGCACAAGAAACATTCCTTTTAGAAAAAGAACAACAAAACTCAAACGAATAAATTTTAAAATAGATACTCTTGCTCCCACCAGTTTTCACATCACATTTAACACTAGACTCCCATGTTGTTAAAAACTCTTATCTGGGAGCAAAACCCCTCTCCGTGCTCGTACAAGAAAGGGTTACAAAAGTCCTTAAATCCATCCACAGGCATTAGGAGGAAACTCTTATCTGGGAGCAAAACCCCTCTCCATGCTCGTACAAGAAAGGGTTATGAAAGTCCTTAAATCCACCCACAGGCATTAGGAGGAAAAAAAACTTTTTTTTTTTTTTTTATTCTCCTCTTTTGACACAGAGCAGAAAACTGCACATTTGGGCTCAGAAAGATGAAAACCCTGAAGAGAGTGAGCAAGTGAGAACCTTTATGGATGTAACACAATATAGCAAGCTTTTGGGGGCTTGTTTGTTTGTTTGTTTGTTCTCCCTTAGGTTTGGGGCTAGATTTTTCCTGTGGGGAGTTAACCCACCTGCTTAAGCTGTTCTTTATCGTAAGTCTTTCAGCTGAGGGCTTGGTGAAGCAAACCTTGATCTCACTTGGGGTGGGAAGTGGAGCCTCCAGGTGGCCCAGCTCCTCAGCAGCCCTCGCAGAGCACCAAAGGTATGGTTTCCT